GGCATAAATCCAAATTGATTATGAGAAATTTTTGTGATGCGTCTCAACCTATGTTCAATTACTCTCTCCCATAATTTTAAAGTATGACACATCAACTTAATTCCTCTATAATTTGCACACTCTTGTGCATCCCCTTTATTCTTAAAAATGGGGACCAAAATACTCTTCCTCCACTTCTCAGACATCTTTTTAGTTTTTAAAATAATATTAAAGAGTTTAGTAAGCCGAGAAACTCCCAAATCTCTCAAATATTTCCACACTTCAATTGGGATATCATCAGGTCCTACAGACTTTCCACCCTTGGTTTTCTTTAAAGCCTCCTCAACTTCTTTTTTGCTAATGCGACGGTAAAAATGAAACGTTTTATTATTATTCACGATATTAAAATCACTAAGTTAAATAAAAAAAAAGTTAAACACAACACCTAAAGCAACGGTAAAAGCATTATTTGGTGAATCTGCACTAGTCAAGTAACGCGAATGATGCTTAGCTGGACTTTGTTAATGATCAGTCATGCAAGGACCGAAACACAGCCCTGACTCTCATGAGGACAGCAAGGGCAGTCTTAAACTATGAGTGAAATTTTGATACAAAAATATCACTTAAGTGAAGTAACTTGACAATATTTGGCCTTTAGATATATAGCACGCAATTCTTATGTATTTACATATCCCAAACCTAAACTTTCATATTTACACACATAGCACTCAAATCTTTAATACCACATCAAAAATAGCTATTTTGCCACCTTTTAAAAGTGAAATCCGCCTTTTCATGCATAATTTTAAAGAAATGTGCTATGTATGTAAATATGAACGTTTAGGCGTGGGATATGTAAATGCAAAGGAATTGTGTGCTGCGTATGTAAATTTCCCCATCTTCTTATGAGAGCACAATCAATATAGTACTTGAGGAAGAAGCCAAAATAACTCTGTTTCAGCAACAGGATGCTCTGTGAGGCCTAAGAAAATTACTGAAGTAGAGAAACCTATAACAGAACAGTAATGACTCATGGATTATGAAATAGACATCATTACACCAGTCAACTCCAGGAGTTGATTAAATATGCTTAAACAACCTCATGAAAACATAAGCGCGACTCACGCATGCTTTCTCCTAAAGAAGCCCACTAACGAGAAGATACATCTAAATAAGCAGGAAAACACTCCAGCCCTATATTTCCCCCTGGACGTTCCTCCATATGAATCTTAAAACAGCACAGAAAATTCAGTTCTACAACAGCACTTGCGTAAATACCTAAAGGTATCTACTTGTTCCCAAACATTCACAAGAAAATAGTTCAAAACTTTCTTTGTACATTCATAACATGGCCTTAAATAGGTACAAAAATACCCCTAGACTCCTTCAATATTTCCTTTTTACTAATAGGACCCTAAATAAGGTCCAATTCTCAACACTCCCTCAAAAGATGGGCAAAAGATATCCACTAAGCCCATCTTATCACATAACCTGGACAAATCTAATCAACTAAGACCCTTAGAGAGGCGGTCAGCCCCTTGCTCTAAGCGGCTACAAGACTTAGCTCCAATAGTTTGTTATTCAGCTTTTCCATGACGAAGAATCTATCAATCTCCACATGTTTGGATCTATCGTGTTGCACCGAGTTGTTGGCAATATTGATTGTTAACTTCTTGTCGCGCCACAACTTCATTTGAGTTCCTTGGTCCACCTTGAGCTCGACCAAAAAGGCTCTTAGTCGCATCATATCAGCAGCTCCTGAGGCCCGGCCCTGTAATTTGCCTCTGTAGATGGCCTTGGTCTATAGACTATCTCTTGCTCTTCCAAGAGACCAAGTTGCCCCCAACGAACATGAAGTATCCTGAGGTGGATCTTCTATCATCTGCACAACTTGCCCGGTCTGCGTCACAAAAGTCATCAATATCATGCTCATTCTTTCTGAAGATCAACCCCTTCCACGGTGCACTCTTCAGATACCTCAAAATCTGATACACTGCATCCATATGACCCTTCCTTGGATTATGCATATAACGGCTCACCACGCTCATTGCAAAAGAGATGTCAGGTAGAGCGTGACATAAATCAGACGGCCCACCAATTTTTGGAACCTCTCACAATCAATGGTTATCGTGTCTCAGCACTCAACTTGGCATTATGGTCAATTGAAGAGACTGCAGGTTTGCACTCTAATATGCATGTTTCCGTGAGAAAATTTAATGCATACTTTGATACCAGCAACTAGGGAAATCATTGAAAATGAAGCAAACTTTTATTGATACTGAATTAGGGTTACAACACGACATAAACGAAAAAGGGAAATACAATGATATACTAATCTCTGATTAGGAACAGTAGAGAAGATCTGTGACGGTGGTGGCGTCAGCAAAGTGGTAAGAGACCGGGTCAAGATCGGAGGTTGTGAAGGGGGATCAAAGGGGGTTATTTGGGAGATCGGTAAGTAGGTTCAGACGAACGTGGA